AAAATAATGCAATATTGTATTAAATTTAACGAATATGCATATTATAATAGTAATAGTTTAAGTCTAAAAATAGAGAGTAATATTAATATTAATGATATTGACAATATTAACAGACAACAGTATTAATATCGTCGGCTTACACTTATCGTGCTTACAGATAATACTTTTAAATAATGTACTGGAGATGTATTATAATGTAAGTTAAAATGGAAAACGGTCCACCGCCGAACGCGTGTTACACGTTTACAAGACGACCAAACATCCGTCTAAGACGTGTCTTAACTGTCTACAATTAATGTCTAAATGTATATCGTGACACGCGTTCATGACGGTGTCGACGGACAGAACATTGTCTCGGATGCTCATAAGGAAGCTCACTGTTCAATGCGTGAAAAATGAAATATGATTATTGTACGATATAATATATAATTCTGTTCCGCCTTCCAACAAATTAAAAAAAAATAAAAAAATGCACCCAAAAGTGGCACCATCTCCATAATTTAAACAGACGACAAGAAGTCACTCTAGCCAGAGTAAGAATTGGACATACTTCCCTGACTCATTCTTTTTTAATTAGAAAAGATCCACCACCCATATGTAATCAATGCCAAGAAGACCTAACCATTCAACACATCATCCTAGACTGCCCAAACCTCCAAAACACCAGAAATACCTTATCAATACCCAACAACTTAGAAGAAGCTCTCCATGAAGACAACACCACAAAAATCTTAAATTTCCTTACACAAATTAACATTGCACATAATCTTTAATCAATATGTATTTGTATTCATAATTTAAGACTCTGTAACCTTTTAAATATGTAATCATTAATGTAACCCACACTATGTAAATGTATTCAAGGCTAATAACCCCAGATGTTGAAGCCTCTTTTCTTTCAATAAAAAAAAAAAAAAAAAAAATATAGTTATAAAATATTATAATGCATGAATAGTGTGATCGGAGAGATGTCGCAAACGGATCATCAGTTGAGCTTTTCGGATTTCATGAAGTTCTGGGTCTTGTCGACGACAGCGTCCTTGGCCTTGTTGGCAGCGTCCTTGGCCTTGTTGGCGGCGTCCTTGACGTGCTCTTCCGACGACGACGATTCCGGAGCCCTGGGCTCGTCCTCCTCGGAGCTGCCCTTGCTGAACGATGATTTGACTTTGTCGATGACGCCGTTCACCACCTTCTTGGTGCCGGCATACGCCTCCTTGCGTTTCTCGTTCAGGGTGTCCAGCGTTTCCGCCGCTCCCTCCTTGACGCTGGTCACGAAACCCTTGAACTTGTCCTTGAACGAGCTGGACGATGTAGACGTCTCCGGTGCGTCCTTGTCGGCGTGCCCGATTGTCTGCTGGACCACGTCCTGTCCGTGTTGATGATGGTTCTCATCGGACGCTGCCAACTGCACACAAAACAACAAATCAACCTCATAGATACACTGGTCATAATATTATATATAGATAACACTGATGTGACGGACGTGGTGCTCGTCGTACACATAAATCATTATTGTTATTGTTATTCTTAAACAGGTAGAACACGCCCAGGGCCCACATATCTGCACCAGTGCGCACTGCACAGGGTCACGAGCATATTAATATTGTTACATATTATCATTTCATCGGGTTTTTTTTTCGAGGAGTACGTGTACCCGGAGGTTTTTACAAAATTATGGTCGGAGAAAACGATATAATACGTGTATACAATATACATATTATTAATTTTATTTTTTTTTAATGTTTGCGATTCTTCATATGATTGTAAACTGGTTTTAATTTGTTCATTTATTTTGTTAGAATAACATATTATTATTTATTGCAAGTTGAAAAAATATCAATGCGATTTAGACGATTATAAAATATGGCTACCGCTTTAATTATGAATGAATTAATTAATGAAAGACCGACATATATTTTTAAGTGAGGCATACATTGTAGGTCTGGGATCGAAATAATTCTGTGAATATTACAGTCCAAAGTGTATAGACGGCAGACGCGTATTACTATATTAATTATAATTTATAACTCACACACACACACACACACACACACACAGTGGCGTATTTATACGGAGGGGGTCAAGGGAATGAATCCCCTCATAGATTTTATATGATTTGCAAAAGTTTTCGGAGTCCTAACTTAAGGCAATAAGGCGAGGCTACAGGATAAAATCATATCCCCCACCCACCATGTCAAAAACCTAAATACGCCACTGCACACACAGACAGCTTCAGTTATAGTAAGCAGTGTTATAATATAGGCAATTATAGGTACGTAGAAGAGAAAATAAACTAAATTATAAGACCATAATATTACTGTGATGAAGTCAGATAAACTAATCGATGTGGTTATACCGCAAGACGCAAGTGTATGATATTAGATGATGTGTATGACGTGCGATAATTGCAGTGAAGGTTTTCTAGTGTTATTATAATAATATTATATTTTTGAGCTCCATTTACGTGTTAAATCTCAACGGCTATAAAAAACCCGTACGTGTGTGAAAACTGAAAATCTCCAATGTTTCATCATCCTCTGCAGCTGTAGTTGTGACATTCACGGCCAGTACACATATTATTATATTACACTGTTCTAGTCTCTAGACTTTTTCTCCGGTTCTATCTATAAAGTAAGAACTCAGAACACTACATACGACTTCTTAAATTGAAAACTCGTTAACCTAACCTACTGGCTACCTCCTATACCTATACTTAATTTTATATCGTATAATATAATTTAGCCATGTTGTTTACTCTCGTTCGCGTTATTATAGATCGTACTATATAATGTTATGTGTAATTACTAATTATATTCAGACGGAGAAAATACGAATTCATCTATATTGATAGTTGCTCGTATATAGTGTTTTTAGTGGACTGTTAAAAGTAATTATTATTTTTTATTACCTACGATTATCGTTGATACATCGAGATTCAAAACACATATTAAATACTTTAAAAATTTTTATGCAATATCACATTTTTTTCTTTAGCATCAAAGCAGGTCAAACAATTTTCCGGTATTCGTCGTTCTAAGCATTATGCAGCATTACGTATTACGTACGTATGAGGTTAGGTATAGGAAATAGTGCTGCAATTCACTAATACACAATTATACAGTAGCACATGTATAATGTGTTTGTGAATTGTATTTTTTCGTTATAGAATTATTGATTAAAAGAAACAAATTAGCACACTATAATTACAATATTAAATATTAAAATGCACTAAATTATTCACTATATATTTTCTAAAACGAACAAGTCGATGTGTAACTTTTTTTACTGGAAATGAATGCTGTCTCTTATGAAATGATTTTTTTCCCATATAAATATTTATAAGCGTAAATTAGACTATTGGGGGATAAATATTTTATTGTTCTTCGGGTGACTTTTATTTTATTATGTATTTAAATTGTAATTTAGATTAAAGCTACATGGAATGTATATAGTTTTTTTATGATGGTAGTGTACACTTCTTTATATGACTAGTGTGCCAAACTTTTGATTGGAGCTTTATTATTTTTAATATCATATACAAATATTTAAATAATATAAATACAAATTTTTATAATTAGGTATGCTAAGATTAATATAAATATACGGTTATACGTCTTATATTCAGGTTATTGATAATATTGTATTGATAATTTATCGGATCTACTAAGTGTATTATAAATATAATAGTATATTATATTAAGGGTACCGTATCTGATGAGTTTTACTTTTTAATACAATAACTGGTCTCTCAGGTCACAGGAAAAGCTCTCATGCCCCGTGAAAATGAGAAATAGACAGATTTCAATAATATTTTTTTTTATCCGACAGATAAAGACTTCATATAGATTAATTTGGATTCCGATTTAAAAAATTTATTTTTAGAACTTGGAATAAACGTTCAAATAATGTCGAGTATTATGAAATACGTATTTTTCTGCCGTTATTTTGTGAAGTTAATAGGTACAAAAAAGTCCAGTACTAGCTGATTAAAAAGTTCGTTTTAAATAGTTAATACAATTATCAAAATCCGACTATTCTACAAAGTACGAGGCACGATCGTTTTCCCAGTTAAAAGTTGAACTGGTTCAATTGTAATTTTTCTGTACGGCCTGTGGACTGTGGCATGGCCGCTGCTCAACTTAACTAAAAATTGCCTGCATCTTTAATATTAAGGAAATGATATTTTTAGTTTTAAGCTTTTTCCTAACAGAATTGAATAATAAATATCATACTAAATGCAATCGTAATATTTCCTCTTACCTATATGGCATTTTTAAAAGAAAAACATTACTCGCAAATGAGTAGGTACATTTGGAAATCTGTGTCTGCCGTCGGATTTTAATATACCTATCATAATAATTATGTTTATGCTGTATTACAGCCATGATTATTTGTGGATATTATTATGAAATAAACTTAAAATATTTAGTTACAAAACCATTCATACGCCATACACCTACTAGGTATATGCTTAAAAAATTGTCTCCGTATAGTATACGCATCTGAGTTGTAACCGTTCCCGTTGTATAGGTTATGTTAGGTATGTCTCGCCAGACATTATTTTTTTAATCAGTGGATAGGTTTATTAATTAAGTAATTAATATACACTCGTTAGATATTATAATTAATTATATATTGTTGTCGGCAACGCATATACGAAAACGACATGAAAAACCACCACCACAACAACAACAACAACAACAACGAACACAGCGACAACAACAATAGAACAACAACAAAAATTAGACTGCAGGATACCGATTTTATTGACAATATTTTCGATTTACAGTGAAACATACGTCTTATATATTTAACGATCATTGTACAACCATGTACCGTAAGTTGGTGCCATGGGAAATTGAAAAGTATAAAATCTCTAACCTAAATCGCAAGTACATAATGTATATTATTCAATATTATATTAAAAGCAGTGTTAATGAAAATCGGTCATATCATATTCCGTTCGTCTGTATTATATTATTATAACCGTCTGGTCGGGCTCATTTCGGGTGTTTCACCGCGTAATCGTCAAACGCTTTGATGGCTTCCTGTTTATACTGATCGTCCGGGTTGGTCTTGGTCGAGCTGAACGTGTTCTTGAGCTTACTGAACGCCCCGCTGAAGAAATTGCTCAGCTGCGACTCGACCTTTTTGGTGTTTTCCGGCTCTGTGACCGCTCCTTGCACTTTGTTGAACGTTTCCGACGCGGTTTGCTTGAACGAATTCATGAACTCGTTCACCTTGCCCTTAGCCGCCTCCTGCAGACTACCCAGCCCCGGTTGTTGTGTCACCGCCGCGGACGGCTTGAACGAATTCATGAACTCGTTCAACTTGCCCTTAGCCGCCTCCTGCAGACTACCCAGCCCCGGTTGTTGTGTTTCCGACCCGGATTGCTTGAACGAATTCATGAACTCGTTCATCTTGCCCTTAGCCGCCTCCTGCAGACTATCCATCATCTGTTGTTGTGTTTCCGCCGCGCGGCTACACTAAATAATCAAAACAAACCATACGGATTTTTTTTTTGGTTTTTTAATTCGGAAATAAGACCCCAACCCTCGTTTGAATTCCGTACACGGGTATAATATTTTGGCTATGGCTCTTATAATTAATATAACATAATTGTGTATCGTGTGTAAGTGAGTTAAGTCGCAGACACTCGCAAGATATGATATAATAACCGCAAAGTCAAACAATATTATTTCCGGTCGCATTTTATCACTATATGAATATTATTACTTGATTGCGCGGCGCACGACGAAATTGTTGGTTTTGCGAACATCGCCGGGCGTGGGATTTCGGTCGTCAAGTTTTTTCGGCTAACCTAACCTACCTACAAGTCATTATATGCAATATATCTCGTCATGTCTCGAATTTGTCGTTCGAACGAATTTTAATAATCCTACCAGAGCATATATTATATTCATATTGAATTATATTATTTAAATGTACGTATAAAATATTATATTGAATTGTAATATCATGGTGAATTATGTTAAACAATAACGCTCTCCTCGCCGTGCACACCTCCCAAATAAGCTATATTACATTTCGACACGTCTTATTAAATTCGAGTGTGCCGAATAATCGAAAAAAGGAACCAATGCCGAAGAACCATTATTTTTTTTTATTTTTTATAGTGTTATACAACGCGTTAGCATCCATTGTTTTTTATTGTACTACAAAAGTCACACAAAACCCAGCCGCACTTTATGCTATAAAATATTATTGTTTCATTATTCGATCTCATGATATTAATATTGTGATTATATTAGTATAATGTTAGTGCGTTGTTATCAATTATTATTTTACTTGGGTACAAACTACAAGCATACTCTAATAGCTAGCTAACATAAATGTGTATTACATAATCGCTGGGCTCTTACCTCTTGAATAGTTTAGTTGCATTCGATTTACGGAATGTGATTATGATAATAATTTCTTGTTTGATACCTATAGGTACGTAATTGTGTTTGAACGGTTTGAGTAAATGTTTTGCTTTTGCCACCAAACAATGTCTCAGTATTAATTACCCATTTCTATTACCTCTCATAATATTGTAAAATATTTTCTCTGCTAAACCACTAGACCAATACGACTAGGACGACAGCAGATAATAGTTGAATTTAAAAACTAAATTTATTTAGTATTTCCGGCGTGGGAGTGATTTTATTTACAAAAAAATAAATATGTAATATGAGAAATAAGAATAGTATTATTGGGGATTTGGGTGCTTGTCAAAATCACGAAATATAAAAGCGAAAGTCCAAATGGTGAAAATAAAAATGGTGAATTGTTTTAGCAGCAAAAACAATAATAGCGAAAAGAGAAAATAACACTTGCATAGGTACTGTTAATTACACCTCAATAGAATAATGGTAGTTTTATGTTATTTTGTACTATTGGGTTTCGAATCGTGTAATATAATACGATAAGTGGATGAGCCTTTACCGAAGTCAAAGTTGTCCATGGAGGTCTGAATCGTATAATCAATGTTGCAACTGTATAATATCCAAATCATTATACTAGGCGATGTGTTGAGATTTTGAAATTATTATGGAACTCATTTAACGTCATAAGAACATAAATGTTCATTAAATATATTGTGTTGATTTTTTTATATAATAAATTATACAATATACATAATTATAATATGTTGTACGTGTATTATTTTTATTATTAATTACGAAAATAAGCACAAACTAGAAAAAATAAGGGATATTGTCCATATTTTATTGTCCCCATATGTGTACCTATTATTTATTTGTAGTACCTAGTATTATTATCTTTAATGTTAGGGTCTACAAATCTAAAGTTCAAACAAAAGAAAAAAAAATTGGATTATGAAAAAATTATTCGCTTTTATTGTTTTTGCTATTAAAACATATAGAGATTTTAACTTTTACCAATTTCTCATAGACTATTTATACACATAACCACATAAGGTAAATAAATTGTCTGCATAGGTACGTGTATAGAGATCGATCGGCATGTGTATAATGTGCTCCTAGTGGATCTGTAATCTGTTATTTTGCACCGTTTTGGGTCAGAATAAGTATGTACGCACGCTTCTACGTTGTATATTTTGTATATTATGATATAGCAAGATCGAAGCAATTTCGATTTGAAATTTTAAAATTGCATACACGTTTTTGTTTTTTTTTTACAATATCATTATATATTGTATTTATACAAAAAAAAAAAAAACATCCGGACAATTTCAGCGATTACTTTGTCGTCGATTTTTCGGTTTGTTTTACATGCAGCAAATGAATTAATTCCAACCTATTTACTATGCGCCGTTCCGATCGGCCACGACGTATTGTTATTATAATGCCGGCTCATCGAAATATTTTGCAAATCTCGTCGCATCTGTACATCGTTCATTTCGATGCATAATTCATGAATGACAAATTCGGACTTTTTTTCGCAGATGATAAAATTATGAATTGAGATAAACCGCAGCCACCGTCGTAGACTGACATAATATAATATTTTAACGTTTCGGTTCGTCGTCAAAATCGATATTGGACATCGTCGCTGGCCGTACCGAATACGAATTATGCGCAGACGTATTATTATTTTCGTTTTACTTGGTTATTATTATACATCTGACTGATTTGGGAAATAGACGTTGAGAATTAACATTATTCTTATATGCGGATGGCCAATCTTCCGCTCACTCTCGAGTCATATCATACACATAATGTCATAGGTATACATAATATCACGATTATAATAGATGCTTATTGCTTACCTATAGATTTTTTTTTATTTTTTTTTTTTGTTAGCATTTCCATAACTGTTATTAACCACCCATCCCGCGATGTCTATATTGCGCGAGTATTATTATCTATTTCTTTGATTTATACGGGTAATTGCAAGTATACAATATTCAACGCATCAGGAAGATATAGTAACCAGCTAACCTACGTATAATATGCATATTATGGAATAATTATTGAGTTTAAAAAAAAATCGCGATTTGTTTACAATTTTAAAAATCATTTAACAGTTAACAACTATTTGATTTATCAAGGAATCCAGTGATTGAATATGTTACATGTAGCACTATACAAAATAGATATTATTATGTACTTTTGTGCCTATATTTTGTGTTATATTTGTATATATTACAGTGAAATACTGAGAAACACAGATGTACATACTAAAGTTAGTAATAATAATAAATTGTAGGTGTGTAATTTATGCCTATATGTATACAAATCATATTATGATTGACGGTATTATTATTTAAGCATTATTAAATATTTAAATGAGTCATAATATGATAATTTTTTTTATGGACGATGATAAATTTACTTTTGATACACCATCACATAAGTTATCTTAATAGAATAGTCCATTATGCTGCCATGCGACATTTTTTAAATTAAATAATATATAAAAACATGCATTGTACATTTGTACCTACCTATACTTAATACAACGGCCAGATTATTGTTATAAATTGACCACTTCAATAGGTGACGACATGCGTGTCATATTAGATCTTTAATTTACGAATAGTGTAATAATTAATAAATATTAAATAGTAGTTATGCTATTTTAAAAAAAAAAAAAAACATCTTCAGTGGAACTGTTTTTTGTAGATGTTTCTTATATGATTTCTTAAGAATTCAAAGTTCTAACTTTAACAATGTTAATTTACCAATCGGTTAGGTAATTGTATGTTATATATGAAGTATTCAAGTATGGCGCTTGTATGAGGCTATGAAGTGATATTATAGAACACTAACAATAAATTTTTATGAGAAATATTGCAACTATAATTATTGTAGCTATTATAGCTGCTTTTTCACACCTGCAGTAAAAATACTAAAATATCGCACATTTATATATTGTATAATAGTCAACAAAACCGTATAGGAAATTTGATTTCTTTCCATAAACGGTTGTGTTTGAGGTAGGTACCTACTTTTGTTTAGTATAATTTTTGAATAATAAAAAAAGTAAAATTAGCCGTCATAAATATGTATTACAAAATCATCTCGTTGAAACATTGTTCTATTGTGAAAAATCGAATGGGAAGGTCGAAAAATTTAAATAATTTATTGTTGGATATATTATACATTATTTCATGATTGATTTAAAGTAATGATTTATTTAATGAATATTTTTACTGTAAACTGTTAATAAAACCCGTGTCCCGTACCATAATATCAATTTTAGTAATAAAATGTAAACCATATAAATTAATATATTTTGGATCTATGCTATTCTATTTAGTGCTTATAAATTCGTTTAACGAATAAAAATAATAATTGGCTGATTACGATTGTTAATTTTTTCTCAAACACATACGATAAATCTATTAAAATAGGAACGTGTGATTGAAGTCATATTTAAAATACTGATAATTATCATGGTCGTGCCAATCTATTAAATACGATTAAGTTTATTTGGTCTAATTTAGAGTAAAATATAATTTATAAAGTATCAAGTATAATATAAAATTTATCACGAGTAGAAAAAAAATTATGTGCGTGTAATATAAGTTAGGTTAATAACACAGTTAATTATAATAATACTTAATTGTTAATAATTAAATTAGTATTTATGTAAGAATAGATTATTATTTATTTCAATAAGTGAATATTTTGGTGAGTACCTATAATGTGAGTTGGTGAGTTGATGATTTTATAATTTTTACGTACTCATATTTGAAAGTAATGTACACCTCGTTTTATATTATTAACACGCGCATGCTAGTAGAAATCGAAGAATGGGCTTTTTGTATGGTTTGAAGCCGAAACGTATACATGTACAATAGAATCGATAAAAATAAAACTTAAAATTAAATCAGTCCGATCGATAAAAAAAAAAAAAAAAAAAAAAACAATAATATTAATAAAGAGATCGTCTTCGTGCAATAATGTTTGCACATAAACAGACGCGGTGGTGTGTCCACGTGATATGATGGTAGCTCGACGTTCGTCTAACAATGTTTCACGTATGTTAAACAAACACAAATATAATGCCATAAATTGTAGAACATTATTATTCAATGAAATTCGAAAAAAGATTGAATATTATGGTCAAATTATGTAGAATTCAATATTATTGTATACAGAATTTTAAGTTTATTCGCGTATTTGCACAACGCACCTATATATATTTCTGATATACCTATACCTATGTAGTGCATATCAATAAAGATCGTCTTCAACCGTACAAAAAGACCATCGGAAAAATAGCAAACAGATATAATTCAATATTATCTATTCGTATGTGGAAAACATTATTGTATTATTGTATAGGCGCATTATACAGTCATTCGTTCGTCGATTAACCGAGACATTATTATACTATCGTACACGCCAGTAATAATGATAATTATGCGGCGTTAAAATGGTATAATATTTAAATATTGTGTATGGGACGCATTATATTACTATACATTTTCGTTTTCAATACTCACGTCAAAAACGAGGCACACCAGCGCTGTGACGACGAGGGCTTTGATCGCGAACCTTGCCATTATTATATTTTGATTGTTGAAAATGAAAGACGAATAAAATCAGAAACACGTATGTACGTCTCGGAAGCAGCAGAATATACTACTACGATTAATTGAGAGCCGAGGACGGTTATTATGTGGGTTAGTGAGAGAGCATGCGCGCGTGCTTGGTGCGTGCGTGTGTCAGAATTGTGTGAATGCGTGTTTAAGAGTTAGTATATTGTATGTGTGTGTGTGTGTGTGTTAGAGTTTGTGTGTGAGTGTTTTTCTGAACCCTAACACCAGGATCACTGCGGTCACGCGATTAGATATCGACGCTGAAGACTATAATATATTATTAACGCGTAAATCGCCCGCTAGCGCGTTCGGTTAAGTATCGCTCATTATAGACCGTTGGCGTTAAAAATAAAAAAATCACACCACTACAATAAAAAATGTATAACAATAACAACAATAATAATGGTGAACCCTATTGTGTGCGCGCGGCCGAAGAGAATGTGGTTTTTTACAATTTTTGTTTGTATAACAACATAATCTCTACGACTCTACCTATATAATATCGTATATTATTATGTTTATATTATAATATATATTCTGTGTGTATGCGTGTGTGCGTGTGTGTGTGTGTGTGTGTGTGTGTGTGTGTTATTTGATTTGATTGGTTAAACCTTGAACAGCGGCGGCCGGTATAAGAATAATATTTGTGTGTAAAAAATGGTCTCTGAGCGATATTATCTGTACGTACTATACACGTCCGTTTGCTATTCGTTTATTATACAAATATAATATTATTAATGACTCATCGTATAATTTATTAATTTGACATTAGGAAGGTCTCTCGTTAGTGCTATACGGCTGTATAATAATATACAATTAATACACCGCTATTCCAGTTCCCGCATTATTCTCTCACCTTTTTTGTTCGTCTTCGTCGACGTTCCGATCCGTAAAACAATGATCGTTTATCATAATATGAAAACGGGCCAACGTATGTAGTAAAGGTAGGTCCCTATGTTTGCATACAACCTGTCGACGGTGAGAAGAGTCGAAGGTCTCCGTCGGAATCTCGATATAATACGAGTTTTATAATCACAGAGACATTGGTGTATAAGAGCACACGTATATATTATAAGACTAGGATTTATAATATATGCAATAGAAAATAGAAAAATGTGCATTTTCTTTTGTCGAAACATCCTAAATTATGTAATAAGAAAATAAGAATATTATGTACCTACCCATGTTAAAATAATGAATGATATTACCAATCATTTTCAAACTATCATGAACCATCATGAACTATATCGTTTAATTTTAAAATGTAGATGGAGTGAGGAAATCAAAGTTAGGTACTATTCTTATGTAAGCTAATATCATTTTCGATATTGTTACTATGGGATATAATATGAATCTATAGCGATTTAAATAGATTTTAAACTATTATTTTTGTTCGAAGACAAAATCACTGGTTGTATTAAATTAAATATTAAGTTGATAAACGCAAGCAGCATCTGTCTATAATTATTCATTTTTCATCATCGTATTATTATCATATTTTATTTGTATTTGTGTACATTGTTACGACATAAGTTTAAGATATATGGTACATATTATATAGATTTAATTTATTTTTATCGATTTAGTTATATTTTATGGTTTTTATATAATATACACATTGGCGATGAGTAATTCAAGTTCAAACTGTGTACCCTATTAAAATTGCTATGCATTTTGAAGTGAAAGATTATGCATTTATATGGGTATTGAGTATTAATATATAAGCTAGAAACGCGGGTATTTATCGATGGCCAATATAGAATAATATGTATATTGTATTTGTTTCATATTGTGCAAGACTAGAGTCGTAGAAGAAAACAAATAATGTTTGAAAATTATCATAAATTATAATTCAAATAAAAGTTTATATTAAAAAAAAAAAAAATTCAAAGTAGCGATAAAATAGTATTAAAGTGATGAGTGACTGCGTTTGCTTATATGCATTCTAGCTAAGAGCAACTACTATGTAATAATCCCAGAATTCCTTGTTTAGGAAATTAAAGCTCAAAAACCGCATTTCAGGTAATCATTAATTATAATAAAATATGCATAAAGAAAAGATTAAAAATAAGTTAAAACATCATTATTCATTGTTAATAATTTTTATTCCAAATAATATTTAATAAAAACCTCTTCAAACTTCAACTTTTTGGGTGGTAGCGAACTGCTTCTGGTTGGTACTTGAAGGGGCCAGGGGGAGTGGACGAATGTAAGTACCTACTTATCAAATTAATCGGGAAAAACTAAAAATAATAATTGAAAAATTGAAAAATGTACGATATTTAAGTTTATCGTACAGCCATATAATATATTTTTTAAGAGCGTTTTAGTACCTGAATAAGTACGATATAATATATTATTATAAAGGTAATCATTTTTCATTTTTTCATTTATTTTGGTTATTTTGACAAAACTGCATTTTTGAACGAAAAATAATGGTTTTTTCATTAATAATTTTAGTTATTTTCATTTAGAAATCATGTATTTTTCAATTTTTGTATTTAACAATATGAATTTGAGTAATTTAAAATCGCATAATTAAATATTTAACTCAAACTTATTATATATTTGTACCCATATGTACAGTATATAACTGTGTATCATACCTAAATAAATTTTGATATGCTATGGTTGCGTAAGCAGAAGTATTGAAACAGCCGTGGATATGACTAATGGCTTATCGGCTAATATAAGTAATAAGTAATAACTGATATAGAATTGGTAAAATTAAAAATGATGAGGACGCCTCACCCAATTTACACAGGAACAGTGATATTATATTATTTATTAATTTATTTAATTTTTCTTTATTCTTCAAGAAGGTAATGGGCCCCACTGAACATGTTCGTGTGGGGGCCCATGAATTCACAATTTGAAATATAAATACATTAAATAGTTCTTAAAAATTAAATATTTACAATTTGTAATATACATTTCTCACATACCTAACTTTAACATTAATAATATAAGTAATATACATTTTCTTATCTTTGTTTATATAATGTAGTATTATGTAAAAAATTGTGTAGTTGAATAATACAATATAATATGGTAATATAAAACTAAAATTAACAATAATTACTAAAGTCGTACAACTAATATGATAAATAATGCAGTAACAATATACGTTTGTACATTATATTTTATAATTATCGATTTGATAAAATAATATTTTATTGACTTATATGATTTTAAATATTTTGTTACCGAGCAATTATTTATTATGGAGTTTAACATAGTTTTTATTTTACCAATCGATTTTCCTTGGTATGCCTTGTTATATTGTATGGTATTCTAATTTATTAATTGCTCCGTGCGTTAATGTCTCTCGATAACATTATAATAGTATACTATTATAGTATTAAGCACCACTATAATACTCGTATATAAATATTATAAATAGTATTACTTTAAGTATATTATGTCTTTATAATGTCATTTAATAATCTATAAAATTATTTTTTATGGTTTTTTCACATTGTTATTTTTTGTGTTTAAACTGTTTATCGATAGTTTGTTTGTTCAATTTTAATACCTTTCCATGTCTAAACGTTAATATGATCCACGGAAATAAGACAAAACATCTTTTTCATAGTCAATAGAAGGTGACGTTTCAATCTTATTACTATAACACGACCGCATTGGCTTAAGTTGAAAATTTTTTTTTCGTATTCAACTTTATGACCGACATAATTATTAATGCGGATTTTTCACACTTTTTAAATAACCATTTTGTATAGACCACGATGACACGTATAAATTGATATTATCTAGTAACATTTTAAGATTATCAATGACTATATCTTTCTGGTGTTTTTCAGATTAAAAATTTGATTTTCCATAATAGCTATACAACACACATTAACAAGTTGACTGCCCTGCAACAAGTTGACCACCTTTTTGACTATATATTATATATTATTTACTAAATAGCGTAATATTTGGTTTTACTTTTGAAATACGCCCTAGTCTTCAAGGGCCTTGATTCATCTTTTTGGTCATTTGTCACAATCAATTATTAAATATGCCAACTCACACTAAAACATCATAATTGACTATCTTGCTGAGCAACGTTCAATTTACCTCCTATAATGGCTCTAAAATTGTAAATTGTAAACGAAATAGGATTTATGGAGCTCATAACCCGTTTGAGTGGCTATTAATATGACTATAAATGCAATTTTATTAATGTATAATTGTTCTTACAAGGTCATAGTAAAAGAAACAAGTCAGTTATAATGATTAGGATAGTGACTTAGAGTTAGATATTTGGTTGTCGTCATCTAACTAATTATTAGTTACTAATAGTGCTTTTGTTTTTGTATAATGTTACAAAAGCTAAACGTAGGTATAATAATTATAGAAAGAAAAGTTTACCATTTTTAGTCATAGTAACCTATATACATACTAAACAGCATCATAACTGTAAGTTTCATTATCTGATTAATATTTATAAATTATATATTAGGTAGACTCGTAGTTATGTGTGTTATGTACTATGTACCTACCTACCTTATAGCCTACAAGTAAATATCAATATTTTTCAATAAAAAGTAGTTTTTCGTCAGACAAGCATATTATATTATATATTAGACAAAATTATATATTCGCGTACAATTGTCGACTTATCAAACTCATTTAATTTTTCTAGGCTTATAAAATAATAACTTTTATTTTTGAGTTGAGATCACTATGACACTATATTATATACCTAGTCACTACAATAATGGATCGACAAATGGTTCAAAGACCTTTGTGGTTGAAAACTTTAGTAGTTAAGTATAACAAATAACAGTACAAGAATCCAATAGGAATAAAACTACAGATTGATCGATTAATATTATTGAAAAAATATTGTGGAAAAAAAGAATAATGATTTAGATATACTAAGTAGTAAGTATAAAATGTTCATCATTTAATGATACAAGTTGTACTAATCAAACACAAATAACACAATATAATAT